TACTTCCTTAAGATGGCATTTCTGCCACATCCATTTCATAAGTAACCATTCGTTCGTAAAAATATGAAGCGCTTTTTTTACCATGGATGGAACTCAGGAAAAAGCTCCACAGTAGTTGACAACTTACATTTTCGTTAGCATTTTTATTCGAAAAATGTTCGACATTATTTCTAATTTTCGGGACACGTCGCAACCATAAGCGAGCGAATATACATGCAGCAATGATTGAGATGTAAGAAATAGAATGTCCATTTTGTGAGGAAAAATCAATTGATTTTAAAGTGGGAACATAAAAATGTTGCAAAGAAATGGAAGTTGAATGTGTGGATAATGTTCTTGTCTGCATAAAATGTGGTCTGGTTGATGGTTATAAGCCGGTCATGGAGTTTGTTTACTTTCATGAGAATAAATAAAGGCTGATAGTTTGTAAAGAAACTGTTTGGGGCTGCGTCGGTGGGGGTAACGAAATAATTTCAAAGTATAAACAAAGTTGAAATGGTAAATTGGCCACCGTTAAGATTATAAAAGCTGACGTTTCGAGCGTTAGCCCTTCGTCGGAGCGAAGGGCTAACGCTCGAAACGTCAGCTTTTATGATCTTAACGTTGGCCAATTTAACATTTCAACTTTGTTTATATATATTGAAATTATATCATGAGAATAGGTTTAAGTTTCACGAACTATCTGTTTATAATCGTGAATGCCACATCATGGAAGTAATGAATGATCTCGAGCAACAGTATAATTTGCAGATGGAACCAATAGTCATAAGGAAGGTGAACAAAGTATTTGCAGAGCTCGACAGCCTCAAAACAGAAAGAAAACGAACTGAACAAATATACGGTTCATCACAAAGAAACTATTCGCTTTGATGTATATGAATGTAAACATCGGCACGACTAAATAAAAAAGAACCCTTAAAAAGTACGAATAGTTCTGGAAGTATGTATGAAAGGTGAAATAGTCAAGGATATACTCAGATGAACTTCTGAAGGAAATCTTTCTCAAATTTGTCAGACAATGAACACATATCAATGATAATGTCATCCAGCACTTTCAAATTGTCCATATTCGCACTGATCCATTATCATACTCGCTGCCTCTCATGAACGATCTGATTTCATTTAATATCTTTTCATAAGATGTGAATGCGAATCAACACATTTCTATCTTACGTTTGCAATTTTTGGCTTCAGAGAATGTTTCTAGCAATAACTGGCCCGATATCCCCTTTTCCCAGGTGAACCCAGTACTCTTGGAGGTTCTTGTTGACCATATTTGCTTGGTTAATGATTATAACCATTATACCAAACCTTATGTTAATACATCCTACTATTTACAGTTCTGTTCATGTTGCCTCTTCAGCAGCACAATTAAAAACATACAAACTGTTCCAATGAGGCCATAAACTGCTGTCTAAAAAGTAAAATTTAAGATGCAAGCCATCGCCGATCAACGGCATCATGAGGGATTTCTTATCCCTGATGATGCCGTTGATCGCCGAAAGCATGATGGATTTTAAATTTTACTCTTTAGACAGCAGTTTATGGCCTCATTGGAACAGTTTGTATGTTTTCCTATTTATAGTTGTTTGATTAAAAAGGAAGAATAGATGTCACCATCAAGTTTTCCAGCTTTATGCTAAAGTAATGGAAATTCCTTTGATTTAATAAATCCTATGGAATATATAATGCGGTGGCAGTGCATGGCATGTATAACGTTTGTATTTCGTTTGTATTTCGTTCATTAGTGACTTTAATATATATTTGTGTAGCTACTGATGTAAAGTAGTAATGTTTGAAAAACATCAAGTAGAATCCAGTTTTTTCTATCACTAGTGCATCGTTAATGACAGCAAAATGTGAGAGACTGCAACATTAGCATGAGATAATCCTCTGAATTTTACAACTCTGCCAGTACCAACACTGTTATCATGTGCTAAATTGTTGCAATAATGATATTTGTTTCGATCACTGATTTTATTGAATAAACTATCGAAATCATGGTCATGATCATTCTTTGTCACAGGATTCTGATGATTGACAGCATCTTTTATCTTTAGTTCTGTTAGCATCTCAACACCTGTATTAAACTCAACGGTAGCATTGTTCAGACTATAAATTCCATCATAAACAGATGTTGGTATATTATTATGATAGCCTTTGATGCCCTAAACAACAACGTAAGCAGTTAGATTCTCAGCGTATGCGACACCTGTTTTGTTTCTCATAATTATATCAAACATAGGATAATTTGGTGTTGTGTCATTATATTTGTGTTAGTTCCATATCTCCAAACTCTCTCAACAGAACCGGTTGAAGAAATTCGCATATCATCTTTGTTAGTATTATTGCTTTCCCAAATAACTCAAGCGCAACTGTGTATTTACCTGTCTGCAATTGATACGCCAGGAAATCGTAAGTTATCTGATACATGTTTACACCGATTCTGCTGCTACATTAATTTTTACCAGTCTCATGATGTGATGTAAATTGCTGCACTCTTTTGTTTATCTAATGGAAGTTCTTATCGACAAATCCAACACCTGTGACATCATCTTCATCACTGAATCGACCGCTTCCAGCCATCACATAGTCCACCACATCTTTCATATCATAGTCTTCAACTGAATGTTCAAAACGATCGCCAACATATTTTTCCTTTTGTGATTACAAAAAAGCATTGCTATCAGATATCATTATCATCATCATTTTCATCTTTATTTGCCTTATTTTAACATTACAAAGATTTACTTACAACGATAACAGCTAGAAGGCGAAGAGACCCAAGAAGCCACCGAGCTTATGGGAGAGCCACCTCACTTACAATAATAAGTAAAGTGAAGAAAAAGTGCTGTGGATGTGCGGCTTGGCCAATTTAGTGATTATTTAAGTAAAAACTCTTGTATTTCCGTCATAAAGCGAAAAAGGTTTGATGAACAAGTGACTGAAATAGGGGGAGAGTTCCAAATTTTAGGACCTTCGTGGAGAATTGTAAATTGCTTGATATTGTTTTATTGACAACATTAACATTTGCAACACAAAAAGCTGTCGCTTGTTTGTGGCTCTTTCGCATCACTGATGAAATTCTGATTCAAGTCGAGATTAACAGTCATTAGCTTTGAAATCACTATTTCCTGATCCTGAACCAACATTTTATTTGCAGCACCTGTTCCTGTTGTTGGTGCCGCAACGATGATGATCTTATTGTTGCCAACAGTCAAACTACCTGTCATTGTATTTGAACCATATTTGAACCATCTAATTTTTAAAACCGATGTGTCAACCTGTGTATCAACCTGTGTCTTATTCGTTGCATCGGTATTATCTGTTGGTGTTGCCAGATTGGCTATCTTATGATTGTCTAGATTGATATCACCAGTAAAATTCTAACTGACAGAAATAATTTTATCGGCGAACAGATCAGCATATTCTTTGTTTGTGGCATCATCATTACCAACCGGTGCTTAGACATTGGCAATCTTACTGCCATTCATGTTTAAATTACCTGTCATCTTAACTGAACCATCAGCTTTGAAATGACCATTTCCTGATCCACCTGATCCTCAACAAATTTTCTGAATCAACATACGATTAATTTGCTGCATTTGATCCTGTTGTTGATGATGTCAGATTGATGATCTTCTTGTTTTTTCCATCAAACTCATTTCCAGTGTATTTCATCAGTCGATGTTCTTCAGCTTTATCAATATAACAATCACTGCAGAATTTAACAGTCACGGCGTCATGTTCATTTGTTGGAAGAGCCAAATCTTTGATCATTTTATTGTTCATATCAAGTTCACCAGTCATTTTTCTGTTTCCTTCAACAGCCATAAGTTCTTGATCTTGATTGTCAACACACAATTTGTTTGCAATGTATTGTTGGTGATGCAGTACAGATCCCTTTATTATTATTCAGTTTAAGATTTCCTGTCCTTGGTGTTAAACCATTTGCAAAATCTGAACAACTGCCAGGTGGTCCAGGTGATCCAGTTGGTCCTGGAGATCCTTGTTCACCATCTTTGCTATTCAAATGATTATTACCATAATACCAACCTATACTAGTAGATTGCATAAAATATTTCGTTACAAATCTCTCATTGAACAATGTATTATTCTATGAGAATACCTTGTTAATGTCATAAAACGATTTCTTTTTGTTGCTCTCATTGATGAAGTACAGACAAACAAACACAAACACAAATTTCTCAAGGAGTAGGTATAGTAGCCTTTCCTTTAAATCATACTGAAGATTACTCTTTCTCTTTGCCAAAAATCTTGTTACAGATTTGCCTTTACCTAAATGCTCATCATAGAGGCTCTACACCTAGGACATATTCTTCAAGAAATTGATACAGCAACTTTTCTTTTGAATCATATTGAAGATTAAAACAATAATAAGTTGACAGTCACAACAACAATCCCTTTACAAGGATGAATATCCTTGCTGGTGTATGACTATAATTCTGTCAACAAGTGGTTTATATTTAGTTTGAGATTCTTTACTCTGGTTCAGTAATTTTTTGTATAATAATCACATGATTGTAAGTAAAGATTACAAATGGTAGCAGTTTACATTCCATGCTTATTCTTCTGGAAGTTATAAATTTATGATTTATTTTGACAACCACTTTGATTGTCATTTGAAATTAAAAATTTTTGTGAATTAGATGCAACAAGGATATTCCTAATGCTTTATATTTAGGGTAAACTTGGTTGT